TTTGAAATCGAAAATACCCGTCATATTATTCACCTCATTGTTTTCCTCCACAATTTGAAAATGGTAATCCTTTAAGTTTTCATTTCATCACACTATTTTAGATAAGCCGTGCCTGCGCCTACACTTCAGAAGCGCAAATGCGATAGCAAGGTATCACACATCAAGACACCAGTTAGAGCTGCATTCCGAGGTCAATGAAAAATCGGGCTACCGATGCGGTTGGAGATTGGGTAAGTAGGCATCAACGAGGAAAAGTATCCTCTATTTCGGAAAACGGGAAGAGCGTCGAGTGCAGACTACACATCACGAGTGACGACGGATAAGGAAAAAAGATAAGAAAAAGCCACTTTTTCAAAAATTATTGAGATTTATCGATTATTATCGATCTTTTCGCGTATAATTCTTCAGTTCTGCACAACATACCTGCTGCCTTGTTCAGTGCTTGCAACGAATCTGGTCGTGTGACAAAGGCGAAAATCATCTGATAAACGCTTTTTCGCAACTCATCAATAGCCGGATTTGACTCGAGAAAATGAGTGAAACAACCCATGATCCGCTGACTGAACGGTTCCATCTGGAAATCAATATATCGATTACCGTACATCCCTTCACGATTTCATGCATTTGTACCTACCTGCTTGTCCACAACGCTACCATAGTCGTCGTCCAGCAGTTGCTTCAGGACCAGAACACACCACACGCGTCACTTTGTCTTGTGACAGGTCGTAGTCGTTCAGCACCTAAAAGTACAACGTAATTAGGTGACTAGGACGAGACTTGACAAAGTTCTACCCACCTGATCTATCGTCATCGCAACGGATTCCGATGTATTATCGGCTTGAACGAGTGGGCGGAATGCGAGCAGAATGACTTTCACCTGAAAAATTGCAAAAATATAGATCTGATTTTTTTGTCCAATTTTCTTTGTTCAAACTACCAGTACCAATTTCTGAGCTTCCTCGAACTCACCTCGTATTTTTGATTTATAAATGCTGGAAATGCAGCTGAGACGCACAGTCTGAACAATGGTTCGTCAGAGCCGGCTGTTGGGGGCAGGCGGACGCAGTCCACTAGCACTGATACACAGACTGCTGATGCCAAAAGAGCACGAATCGATTGTAAAAGGCGAAGATGCAGGGTGGAAATCAGCTGAAATCGATTTTTTGTTGGTACTTTATTACTTGTTGATTCATGTTCCTAAAGAAAATAAAGGGCTTTTTCAATAAATGAATACTACAAGCTTCTCGATAAAAATGCAACATGGCTTTTTATAGTTATCCCTGCTGTTGAATTTGAATTGTTATTTATTAGGTTGGTTTAGTTCGACAAATAAATGATTTCATGCTTTGCAGGAAAAAAGGGGCGTGGCCGAGTACCTTTGTTGGTCGAGTTAAATAGCAGAAAGTATGATTGAGGTCAGTATGGCTATGATTTCGAAGTATCCGCTATCCAGGCTAATTTTTACAGGCGAATATTTTCAACCACATGATCAAGCCCTCACTGACCTGTTCAAAGTACTGCGGATCGTCGTTGAGGGTGAACTTCGGCTGGGCAGCTTCAAGCAACTCCTTCCAAAGTGGATTGGCCAATGCTTCAGAGGTGAGATGCGAGGTGGTCAACGCCAATGCCAACCGCTGTTCGAGCTCGCGCTGACGTCGTTCATCTCGTCGCCACTTCTTCGACTGCATTATCTGTCCCGACGAGTTGATTGTGAGCCCTGCTAATGGCTTTTATTATTGATCATTCATCAATGGATAATCGATTCCGAAGGATTTTACCTGCTTGTTGAAGCATTTGGTTTGCTGCTTGTGCGGCATTAATGTTAGCTGATGAGGTCGGTATTTGTGGATTCAGCATCATTTGACGGGTTCACCGTTTGCATTAGGTTGTGCAGTAAACCAGCAGGCATCGTTGGTGTGCCATTGCGTAACGCTGCCATGAGGTTACTGTAAGAAATCATAATTTATTCAAAAAAAT